TTCAGAATATGATGATAAATTACAAGCACACAGAACATCTGAAATGGCCAAAAAACAACAAAAAACTTATTGCCAAAATCAGTGAGAAGTAACTATAAATTTTAAGTCAAAAGAGCTGCCCTGAAAAGCAGCTCATGTCCTGTTTAAGCACAAAAAGACCAAACAGGTTGTGATGAAAGAAATATGGAAGAAAACTTATCCTCTCTTTAGTAATTGCCCTCCACTCAGAAATTCAAATCTTTACAAGCCAGAAACAGCTTGTGTCATAAGATGTCAATAATTATTATTTCTGGATCAGAAGAGTGAACAGGCTAAAATTTATTTGTTTTCCTCAATTATAATATAGAATTAATGCATTTTCAATCAAGCTTCCAGTAACGGATTACAAGAGTGAACTGGAGAATATAAGTAAAAACTAGAAACAATAATAAAGTTTCATATGATAGTGACATTTATTAAACAATATAAAATTATAAGTAGTTTGCTCAGAAAATGAATAGGAAAAACAAAGAAATAGAAGAAACACACTATAATATATCATATATTATATGAAAATAATATGTAGTTGGGAAAATCAGAACTATTTCTATGTTATTGAAACTAGATTGATTATTCAAATAATAGTGGTAAAAAAATTACCACCTATTTTATACACACAAAAATAAACTAAAATAGATTAAGAATTAAATAAAAAATAATTTTTTAATTTATTTAACCATAAGGAAATAAATTAAGTAATCTCTGGATGAATGGAAACAATTTTCTAAAGAAATAACAAAAATGAAAAAGCAGAAGGAAAAAGTATGTGTTTTTATTGAAAAGCAATTGGACATATAAATAACATCTACATAATTATAATTTAGAAGACAATAACATAGGATATATTCAGTGCTTACCGTGTACCAGACATTGGGCTATAAGTTTCCCTGTATTAATAACTCCATTAACTGTTGTAAAAATGTGGGAAGTTAGATCTTATTACTTCCCTCTTTTTGTGGATGAAGAGGATAAAGTTATGAGAAGTTAAGCAACATTTTTGAGGACACAAATATAAAGTGTTAGGAGCTTGAATTTAAACCCAGGTGATATGTTTCCAGAGCCTACAACTTCATCCACTATGTTAGACCAACTGTCATTTTGCCTCCTTCAAAATTTAGTAATTCACATTCTTGGAATCTAAGAACATAAGCAGAGGTGTGATCAAATACGTATTTATGTGATATGTATCATGTATCGAGGATTATTTTCTATAATAAAAATACTCTAAACTACTGAAATGTTAAATAATAGGAAATGGTAAAAACCTGTGATGTACAAATAATATTAAATAGTATCCACCTATACAACACAGCATCACCCACTAAATGGTATTTACTAAGCATTGCATTAGATGTTAAGGATTAAATGAACATAAACCATAAGCCTACTATCAAGGAGCTTACAGTCTGGTAGTGGGGAAAACAAACAAACAAATAATTAAATTCACCAAGTATGGTAAGTTTAAGCACATGTAGAAAAAAGCACAAATAAAAGAATAACTTGCCTATTTTAGTGGAGAATCAAAGGAAAGTTTCCTGGAGGAAGTAAAGTCTGGTATAAAATGTGACTTAATAGAAAGCAACCAGTAATATCAAGCAAATAAATAAGACATACATTTGAGTATACACTATTTTATAAATATACACTAATTTATAAATATGTATGTGTGTGCATATATATTGGCTTAATAAGATTCGATCATATGTCATATAATCTCTCATTAGTAGGGTTACGAGTAATTTTTGAAACTTTTCAATATTTTTCTCAGTTTCTCGCTATATTCACAAAATTTTAATGATATATACAATACAAGGTGGGGCAAAAGTAGGCTTGCAGTTGTGAGTACACTAAGCACAGATTTTATTCTTATATTATTTTCCATACAAACAAATGTAAACCTGCTTTTGTCTCACCCTGTATATACATGGATAATTATATATGCATATATGTGACATTTACAATCAGAACTGCCTCCAAATATAGTAAATACATTTCTTGAAATAACAACAAAGAACAAATTCATGTTCTATTAACAATTACTACAGAAAATGTTTTTGTATTGAGCAGGTGAGTTACATTTTGAGCCATATGTGAAAAGTATTATGTATACACTTTGCAGTCTGCATTATATATTGGCCATCACAAAACTGGAAGTATTATTGAAAATTTCTACAATTTTTATCTAAAACCCTTGGAATTTTTTCCCCAGTATTTAAAACTGTAATAATATATACACAGATATACATAAACCCTTGGAATTTATAATTTTTCATAGTTTAAAAAGACTCTACAAACCTGAGGCATTACACTATATTCAAGCACAGCTATATTTCTGATGTGAAATGTGTGACGATTCACTCAATATTGAATAAGTAATGACCATAAATATATTCACATCAGTTCATGTTGGCTTTTGCTGCCAATAAGTTTTGGCACCAAACTTAAGGGGGAAAAATTTTAAATTGTTTCCAGATGTTTTTAAATTTATGAATTGTGAATAGTTATGAATCTAAAAAAAATTAAAACCCAAAACTTTTGGAAAGGTCTTCCAGAGAAGCAATTAAAGAGCCATCGACATTTGTAAGAACTGATGAAGATTAGTTGGGTGGTTAGATCAGGATGTGGTGCGGGAGTTCTATTCTGCACAGGTTGGTTTCAGGGTCAGTCTCCATTGTTGTGTAATGTTTGTTTTTTAGTTCATCTTCACTGGCCTTTCTTAGCTGCTGTACAAGCCCTTTTTCCTCTCTAAGCACAGCAGTGTCTAGCTAAATCACATATCAAATAAATTTACAAGTTCTCTGAAGTCTCTTTCCTTTAGGTTGTTTTATTCTGGGCTTACTAAGGGACAGTGTGACCAAGAAAAAGCCTTCTGTCCTTAATCCTTGCTCAGGAACAAGATATCCAGAAACTAGATGCATCTTGAGACTCTTGAACTTTTGCATACTAATTATATTTTTTCCTGTTGAAGAGGATAGAACCGAGTAGGGATTTATTTAGCAGTAATATAAGAATGAAAAATTGAAATTTGAAATACTAAATTGCGGTATCATGGGATACAAAGACTTCCCACAAAGTGGATAAGGCCAAGAGACATTCTGGCTGCAATGCTGGCCTTGAATTCTGAAAAACTGAATTTTATTTCCAATTGCACTATTTTTTGGATGATCCCACACTGCCTAGTCTCCACTTAAAATACTGGGTTCTGCTGCACACTCTTTTATGTGGGATACAACACCAGGGAGATATCAAAATACCTAAATATGCTGTGTAAAAGGGAAGTCACACAAACAAATTTAACTAGAAATAATATGTGATGTTGTTGTTAATATTAGAGAAAAGAGGTTTGGGGTTTGGGTACAGTCACAAAGTTTTCAGTGTGTGACCTGAACAGAAAGCTGAACCAACCAACCCAGAGATTGGGAGCGGCAGTCCCCATAGGCCAGCAGTAGGAAGTTGATATGGGGGGGAGACAAGTGTCTCAGATCAGAATAACTGCTTGGTTCCTTGGGCTCAGACATGAATTATCATGAGTGGAACAATTATCAGAATAATTATCAGAGTTTCATAAGTCTGTGTGTGAAAGAAAAGTTAAGAGCGTTCTCCCAATGTTATGTCTGAGAGTCAGATCCCCTATGCGGCGGAAAGACAATCACTCCAGAGCTGATAATGTAACAGCAAAAGGGACTTTTATTCCAGCTAGCTGGGGTTCGGTCGTATCCAACGCAGTGGAATTCTGACTCGAACCCCGATCTAAATTTACCACAAGCTTATATAGGGCTACAGTGAGCAAGCAATCATTGTCAGTTACAAAGTTACATGGGTTATAAATTCTTTAGGAAGGGTGGGCTCAGGATGTTTCTCAACCACAGGTGCCTGAAGCTGGAGTGCACCTGGTATTCGTCAAACCCACCGATTTAAGTTAATTCCTGGAACTGCCTCCAGCATCTGCAGTTTACTGAGTCACTCATGTATGCCTTTTGTCCTGCCCTGGGGCCTAGGGGCCTGCCTCTGTCTTGGTGGGTCCTCACACCAACATCCTATCAACACTATACAGAAATTACTTCACAAAACAAGTAAAGGTCATTAAAAGACTTCCTATTAAAAAGCATCAGAGTCACTATACAATTCTATGGTGGCAAGAATAACAAAGGGAAGCCTAACAGCTCAACCCAAGAAACAAAGGTAAATAGATAAAAGCTATAGACCTGGGGCAGAGGGACTAGGGAATCAGAATCAGAACTGCATTAGGATATCTAGACAATGGGGAAAATAATAAAGCAATGTGTAATTTTATATATTGAACTCATTGACAGTATAACAAATAGCAATTGGAACTGTGACAATTTCACTTTTACAAGGAATGAAGGGATTAAAGATAAAACAGAGGTTCAGGGAGTGCATTTGTAAGAAGACAGAGCTCTCTAGAGGTGACTTTAGAAACTGAAAAGAGTGTGCAACAATTTCCTAGAGTTTTAAAACACACATTTCTATGTACTGTACATGCCTTTGAACACATCTGTAACTCTTTCATTTACCAATTCAAGATAAAAATCTTTATTGCCCCCAGAAATTTGACTATAGAATTAAATAATTTTGTTCAACTGAAAGCAGAAATAAAATTATTGTCATTTATTTTGGGTCTGTAATTCTTAAGAATTACCATTTTTAAGCATAATTAAATTGTTCAGCTGGAATAAAATGATCTTATTGTGCTTTTAATGTGCACAAGAGTCTGTGTAATTGTTTTAAATATCTGAGTAAAATAAACATAATTAATATGGTTTCTAATTGCAGTGGGGTTTTTTTAAAACTTTTTGATAAGCTTAGGGGGAAGTTATTCTCTCCTTCCTGCTCCTAGAAATTAATTCAAACTGCCTCAGTAACCAAAATGCATGAGGATGAGATGAACCCAGATCCCTTTCTTACATCAATATAATTTATGTACTGGCAATTTTTCCCTTTCAATTATACCCTCCTCTAAGACTCCTCACATTGGGGCCCCCTGAGCCTTTAGATTGGAGCAACTGGAGCATAGCCTGGCGGATGGTCTTGGTCTTCAAGCTATAAATTACAGGGTTCAGCACAGGTGGTAAGAGCAAGTAAACATTGGCCAAAATGCTACAGACCACCTTAGAGGTGGAGTTCAGGAGGCGATGTGTAATGGACAGGCTGATCATTGGCACATAGAAAACAGTGACAGCACAGAGGTGACAGACACAAGTGTTGAGAGCTTTTTGTTGCTTCTTTGGGGCCACAGTGCTCAGGACAGTACGGAGAATTAGGGCATAGGAGAAAAGGGTAAACAGTAAGTCAGTGCCGCACAGGTAGAGCTGAAGAAACATGCCCAAAAAGCTGCTGATCCAGGGATTGGAATATGAATATTTGATCACATCTGGGTGGTAGCAAAATGGGTGGGAAAGTTCCTGGCCTCCATGAAAAGAAACATTCTTCAAGGCTAGAGTCACGGAAAAGAGGAAAATTACTTGCCGTAGGCAGATGACCAGTCCAATCACCATGATCATCATATCTGTGAGGACAGTGGCATACTTCAGTGGGTTACAGATGGCCATGAAGCGGTCAAAGGCCATGGCTACCAGCACTGAGGACTCCAAGAAGGAGAAGGCATGAACAAAGAGCATTTGAGTGAGGCAAGCTTTAAAGCTGATCTCCCGGGCATGAAACCAAAGAACCCCAAGCACGGTGGGGAGGGTTGAAATGGTCAGACATAGATCAACAGCTGACAGCATGGAGAGGAAATAGTACATGGGCTTGTGGAGACTCTGCTCAACAATGATGACAAACAGGATCATGCTGTTTCCCAAGAGGGCAATGGTGTAGAGACAGCAGACAGGGATAGAGATCCAGACATGAGCCACTTCCAGCCCAGGGAACGCAGTGAGGAGGAAGACTGAAGAGGATGATGTGGTGTTATTGAAAAGTACCATGGCAGGTTGAGAACACACCCTGAAAAGAGAGACAAAAATGAAAGCGTTTTGTCATATTGAACCTTTTTCCAATCCCTGACTTTTTTATAAACTCTTTCTGAATTACACAATTATTTCTCTGTATTCAAATCCCCAATCTAATTAGGATGCCTATCACATCTTTCCCTATTATCTTTCATTTCTCTGGTCAGAATCTGGCCTCTTTTTTTCCCCCTCTACTCTTCCCAATTATAAGCATCAGTCTCTCTAGGCTCACCCTCACCCTACTGCCCAGACAAGCTCTAACTTGAAACAGAAAATGCTTATAGACTTACATCACATACATGCACACACACCAACAAAACAGCAACAGTGACAACCAATGGGTCTTTGAATTAAGTCTCCAAACTACATAAGTTGCTCCAGAAATAATAGAGAAGCACATAAGAGCCGCCGGGTACTTATGGTAGCAAACCCCAAGATGTTCTTGCTGGAAGCTGTTCTGGGATATTGTAGCCACATGAATCATCGGCCACCCTCGCCTAGCAGACTCTATTAGAAGTATCCTTTTGTATTGGGTATTCTTTATTTCTTTCCCTATAATTCCTCCCTTCCCCACTCCACATGCGTATGAGACTTAGAGGCATCTTGTGCTCTCATTCTGTTTCTCTCCATACTTTTCCAGATCTACTGAAATAACGGGTCTTGTTCTCCTTTACTCTGTCTTACACCTCGAGGTACTTGTTCCTACTCCTTCGCATGGAAATCTGCCATGTGACTTTGAGCGATTAACTATGAATCCTGTGAAAATTTCAAACAGTACTCTGGAATACATGACTTGAGACATCCTAATCTAGACATAATAGGTAAGCCCAGATAAGATGCCTTATGAAAGGCATGGGAACACTCAGCAACATGTGATGAATGACTTAGTGAAAAGCATGAATGTGATAGAAGTAGGGACTAATAACTAAAAGGGAGTCACTTAGGGACAGATAAGCATTACAAACATGAGGTGACATTACAAACTCTAATATCAAGTAGTTCACTGGGTAAAGAATGATAGCTGCAAAGAAAATAGAAATGGTGTCAAAAAGGAGGCAGAATCTGTAATCTATATTTAAGATGACAATTGCAGTTCTATTCAGGGCTTATTCGCTGAGTTTTGGTGTCATCAAGGCTGATTTTTAAATTTTTACTTAAGACATTTAGTCATCAACAGAGAACCAGCAAGGAATGATATACCCAGCTCAGTTATGGCCTGGCGAGGTATGGCCAGCCATAGTATTCTTATTTTTCAGCAGCCTAGGTTGTCTGCCTTTTTGTTTGAGTGGACACAAGGAATTTATATCTGAATAGATATAAGGAATTTGCTAGTAACAGACCCTGCCAGCTGTTATATAAGAACAAATATGAAGGATTGTTAGTAATTTTCTCCTTCAGTTTGCTGAAGATGGTGATAGAAATAATAACCTATCACTCCAAAAGGGGAAAATAGACTAATAGCTTTTTCTGGTATAGTATTTAGCGATTTATATTATATATGGCTGAGAAATAACACTAAGAATTGGGAAAACTGGTACCAAGTGAGATGTGGATTAGAAGTGAGATGTGGATTAGACATACTGAATTAAATCAACCACTCAGGCTCACAGTGACTATTTTAATGCCAGGTACTGTGTGAAGGGCCAGGAAGGCAGAAATGAGTAAAGTTTCTGTATTCTGAAGTCTCTCAACCCATATTAATGGAACACAATTACTACATGGGGATATGAGGGAAGACTAGCCAGGCAAGAAACCAAAGTCTGTTAAGATTTCTGTTTCATTCTTCTTATTCTCAATCTGATAAACACACATATTAAGAGTGAATCTATCTCCTTCTCTGTGATAACAATTCAGGAATCCCTCTGCCATGCAAAATAACTCAATGTATTCACTCTCCTCCACTAGTACTTTATATATGCTTTCTATACCACTAAAATCCTATTGCCTGATCGCATTTCTTTATTCCTCTAAAATGCTGGCTTTCTGGGAACATAAAACATGTGTTAATTTTTATATTTCCTCTAAAGATAAGCACAGTTATTGGTACATGATAAAAACTCTAATAATCTAATTAACATTGGATGTATTGGTGGATGGGTAAATGGTAGATGAACAGGGATGGATAAAGACTAGATGAGAGAAATACAGATTGAGCCTGGAAGCTCTGAGGGAAGGATGAGCCAGAGGGATTGCATTTCCCCTGACACCAGGAAACATAAGGAGAGTAGTTGTCCTCTCATTGATTGGGAGAAAAAGGGGTTAGATTGAGAGAAAAAGAAAAGAATTAAGATCCTTTGTATATGTCAACATTTGCTAGCCACCTTATATATAATTTTGTATAATCCCAGGAAAAAATTATATAGATGTTTTCTCCTATTTTAAAGAAAGGCACCCACAAGGTAAAAAAGTATTTCAAAGGTAAAAGTGTTAGATACATATTCAAAATTCAAAACCAGATTTACTAACTCCAAAATTCTTTAATTTTTATTAAACCATAGACCATATGAGAAGCCAGGCTTATGAGAGAAACTAAATAGTTGGACAGCATGATTTCCTTCTTTTAAAATACAAGAATTGCTTATATTCTATTATATATCTATATGACTTAGAGGAGGAATGGAAAAATAACTAAAATGGAGAAAAGTGTCCTCAGAGCTTGTTTTTAAAATAATATTCATGGAGTCAGCCTGTGTGCATTTAAAAGAATATGTAAATGTTCACATATGTTTGTATAGTGTGTTTTTCTATGTGCTGGTGTACATAGAAAGGAGTTTTGGAATGGAAGAGTAATTAAGAGATAAAACAGACAATCATTATCTTCTTTTCCTTAAATTGTATCATAAAGGACAAGAAAATGACACTGGATGATGTGAGAGTTAGGAAGAGTGAAGACAATGGCTCATTTTGCTGGTGGAGAACTTGTTTCCTATGGAAGGCAGACACAGGGACAAGAGAAGGAGTAGAGGGCCTTTCCTCCAGACCCAGTGAGCTCATACCCTCTGGGACCAGTTATAGGACAAATTTGTGCCTCAGTTCATCAATGTTTCCTCTGCATTGCCCACTAACCAGAAGAGTAGGCTAGAGCTTGCTGTCTTTAGTTTGCCATCTGACTGGCCAGGTGGAAGGTAACATCTTCCAACTCATATACAGAAAGCTAGATTAAACAAGGCTAGGATCCACCCAATGCAATAACTTAGTGATCCAAAAGTCAACATCCTGCTTTTTGGCATAAATAATGTTATAGACCCTTCCTCTTCATTTATAAATCTCCAGCTTTTATTTGTTTCTCAACACTGAAATCTATTTTTTTCCACAATCTGAAGCCTGCCCTGACAGCTCCAGGTCACGCTAATCAGAAACATACCTTCTGCTACTAAACCTGCCCCTCTTCATGCTTGTACTTTTCATTTGACTCTTAATAATGAGACATGGCTGATGTTAATTTTTATATGCAAGTCTTATCTCCTTATCTCCTTTATCTGCCTGAAGTGTGAATCCCTTAAAAGTTTGGCCATGACTATCTTTTTTTCTCTCAATGCAAGCTACTGAAATAGGATATGGAATAATAGAAAGCTTCAATTAATAATGTTGACTGATTGCTGAATAATCTTGACCATAGAGAGTTCTGGATCCTATTTATTTTCCTCTTTTTCCTTTCTTTCCCTATGTCTTCCATAGCCTTGTCTCAGTTTCTCCAAGCTTCTTTATGCCTGTTTCTTCATCCCACCTTACTTGTAGCTTCCATCATTTAATCACTTACCACCCTCCTTCTCCTAACATTCATTCTTTAATCCCTCTCCTCCAATCCCTTTCCATTTGTGCACTTTTCTTACCTGTTCACATCAGTAGAAAACACCACCAACTTCTTTCCATTTCCATCATAAAACAGGAACTAAACCAGTTCCCAAGGGTGTAAGCTTTATAAGCAGTTTAGTACAGTCACCAGGCAACAGAGAGCTATTTTCATTTATGAGTGAGTTGAAGCAAAAGTTACAGAAGCCATATGAATCTGTCCCTCTACAACAGCTCAGACATATCTCTCTGACACAGGTTCAAACCCTGCTCAGGGGCCCAAGCAAACCCCATACATCAGAGCCCTGGCCCTGGAGCTGACAGTAATGGGTACCTTCAAAAATTGCCTGCCTGGGTCAGATAATTATAACCATTCCTCTTCAGGCAGCCTTTGGCTACAGATTCTCAGCCAAGGAGGCTCCCTGAATGTCAGATAGGGATCAGGAGAGTGCAAAAACAGCCATTCCTCAGGTTTTTTACTCCAATATGTATTCTTCCTAAGAGGTCTCATTGTTCCCCTGGCCACTGCCATGTTCTTCCTCTTACCCAGGTACTTCTCCTAAGAAGCCATCCTGTGAACTGAGTCACATCTGCAGTCCACTTCCCCTTCTAAACATAATTAAACAAGCATTTGATAGCTTTGTAAGACTGTATGTTTCTAGAAAATTACCCATTTCGCCCAGGTTGTCCAATTTGTTGGCATATAGTTGTTCAGAATATTTTATTACAATCTCTTGCATTTCTGTGGTGTCAGTTGTTACTTTTCTTTCATTTCTGATTTTAGTTATTTGAGTCCTCTCTCTTCTGAGTTGTGTTTAAGGTTTGTCAGTCTTGATTTTGTTTTGAAAGAACCAGCTCTTGGTTTCATTGATTTTTGTATTGTGGTTTTTTTTAGTCTTTATGTGAATTATTTCCACTCTAATCTTTATTTCCTTGCTTCTGCTTACCTTGGGCTTTGTTTGTTGTTCTTTTAGGTGTAGGGTTAGATTGCTTATCTGAGATTTTCCTTGCTTGTTGAAGTAGGCACTGTGGAAAATAGTATATAGAGTCTCCTCAAAAATTAAAAATGGAACTGCCTTTTGACCCAGAGATTCCACTTCTGGGAACATATCAAAAGAAACCCAAAACACTAATTCACAAGAATATATGTACCCTATGTTCAATGCAGCATTGTTTACAATAGCCGAGATCTGGAAACTGGT